TCCACCTGCCCACTCCCATTCACCGTCCTTCTGATTGCCAGAGCAATGAGACAAGAAAAACAAGTAAAAGCATCTAGATTGGAAATGACAAAATAATACTATGTCTACACACAAAGGACTATCGTCTGCAGAGAAAGTCCCCAGGTCTGGATCCCAAAAAGCTCATAGAGTTAACAAAAGGGCTTAGAAAGGTCACAGGATACAAGAGCAACAACAAAGAAGTCCATCACATGTCTATGTACTAGCAATGAACAACTGGAAACAGAAATTTAAAGACCATATCATTTATACTATCTACCCCCCATCAATTTGAAAGATTTAGAGTCCAATAAAATATGTGTAAAATTTAAGCACTGAAAACTATAAAACGCTTCCGAAAGAAAGTGATGAAAAGCTAAGCAAATGGAGAGACATCTGTGTTCATTGATCAGAAGATTGTATAGTTAATATGTCAATTTTCCCCAAATTAATCTATGGATTTAGTGTAATTCCTACCTAAATCATAGTACTGGGCATGGTGGCTCGCACATGAAATGTCATCCGTATTTGAAAGCGGAGGTGGGAGACTTGTTTGAGTCTAGGAGTCAAGGCCAGCCTAACCAACATAGCAAGATGCTGTCTCTACAAAAAACAGAATAAAAAAATTAGCAAGGGTTGGTGTCCTAGCTACTCAGGAGGCTGAGTTGTAGTCCTAGCTACTCAGGAGGCTGAGGCAGGAGGATCCGTTTAGCCCAGGAGTCTGAGGATGCAGTGAGCTATGATGGCATCACTCGCCAGGCAACAGAGAGAGATACTGTCTCTATATAAATAAGTAAATAAATAAAAATTAATTTTTAAAAACTATACCATTATACACACACACATACATACAAGCTAATTCTAAAATTTATGTGGAAAAGGAAAGGAATTGGAATCAACAAAATAATTTTGAAAAAGAATAAAGTTGAAAGTCTTACTACTGCTAATTTTTAAGCTTACTCTAAAGCTACAGTAATTAAGACAAAGTAGTATTGGCAAAGAAACAGACCCATAAATCAATGGAATGGCCCAGAAATAGACCCACAGAAGTATAGCTGATTGATTTTTGCCAAAGGTGCAAAGGCAATTTAATGGATTAAAAAGAAAGTCTTTTCAACAAAGGATGTTGAAACAATTGGGCATATATATATAAAAAATGAACTTAACCTAAACCTCATATCTTATGCAAAATTCTTATACAACAATTCTATAAAACTTCTAATACATCTCATATGGAAATTAACTCAAAATGTATCATTGATCTACATGTTAAATATAAAAAGATAAGATTTATATAAGAAAGACAAAAACGTCCTTGTGACCTTGGGTTCTTAGTTATGACACCAAAAGCGCAATCCGTAGAAGAAAAATTTGAGAAATTAAACATCTTCAAAACGAAAAAGATTCTGGCTCACATCGTAACTGGTGATGTTTTCATAAACCTTCACTCCATCCTGAGAGATGAAAAGATAAGCTACAAACTGGGAGAAAATATTTACAAATCACATACCTAAAAAAAAAAAAACAACATGTATCCGAAATATATCAAGTAATCTCAAAATACAATAATAAGAAAATAACCCAATTTAAAAAATGCAAAAGATTTTAACAGACATGTCTCCATATCCATAGGAGATGTGCAAATGGTGAATGAACACATAAAAAGTTGTACAACATTGTTGGCCATTAGAGAAATACAAATTAAGACCACAATGAGTTGTAATGCACCTATTGGGGAGATCTGGTAAGTTTTACCAACTGACAATGCCAAGGTTGGTGAGGATGCATTGCTAGTGGGAGTATAATACGGTGTAGATTCTCTGAAAAACACATATCATACAACTCAAATCATCCCTTTGCTAGATATTTACTTGAGAAAAGTGCAAACCCCCATTCACATAAAAATCTGCACAAGAATGTTCATAGAAACTATAGTCATAATCACCAAAGATTGGAAATGACCCAGAGTCCTTCAAAGCTGATGGATAAATAGCCTGCAGTACATCCATACAATCGAATACTATTATACCTAGCAAATCAGAGGAACAGACTATTAATACAAGCAATGATGTGGGTGAATTTCAAATGCTTATGATGTAGAAGGAGCCAGTCTCAGAAAGCTGCATACTGTGTAATCCATTTACATAACGTTCTGGAAACGCAACGGGAACTCCAGAGACACAGAATAGATTAATGGCTGTCATGGGTTACAAGTGGAGGAAAGGTTGGACTAAGGGGCAGCACAATTTGAGGGGGCCACATAATCTGATTGTGATAATATTTATGAATCTAGGCACATGTTTGAATTATAGAACTGTAGGCCAAAAGGCAAACTTACTGTAAGTTTTTAATAGGAAGGAAATATAAGAATAAATTGGGAAAAAATAAGAGTAGGTCTCCTGTTTACTTCAAATTTCAACCCCATTCCCCATCCCCCTGTGGCCACTTTAATAGTTTCTGATTTTAGCTTTTACTAGTTAACAATAAAATGTAAAGCGTAGTGCCTGTGGCTCAGTGAGTAGGGCACCGGCCTCATATACCAAGGGTGGCGGGTTCCAACCCAGCCCTGGCCAAAGTGCAACAAAACAAAAAAAATAAAATAAAACATAAAATAATAGAGACAGACATGTGAGGATCATATCTATTAACTTATAAATAGGGAAGGAATTAGCTTTTCATCTTTCCTCACCTCTAGTTTGTGTCACGTTGAATATATTTATCACATTTATGTTTCTGTATTTGCCACATGCTAGGCTGAGTCTAAACAACAGCTCATAAACAGGATTTAGGCTGGCGCAGTGGCTCAGACCTGTAATCCCAGCACTTGGGAGCCCAAAGGTGGATTGCCTGAGCTCACAAGTTTGAGACCAGCCTGAGCAACAGTAAGACCCCATCTCTAAAAATAGCCGGGCGTTGTGGTAGGCTGCTATAGTCCCAGCTACTTGGGAGGCTGAAGCAAGGGAATTGCTTGAGCCCAAAAGTTTGAGGTTACTGTGAGCCATGATGCCACAGCACTCTACTGGGGTGACAAATAAATAAATAAATAAATAAACTAAACAGGATTTGCAATAAGACCATATAAATAATGTTTACAAGGTACTAAAAGTGTGATCAATCTGAAAAAGAAGGAAATGTCACTTATGTTACTTTATATCCTTGAAGTTGTGCCCCTGTTAAATTCTCTCCTCATTGGGTTGGCCCACTTCTCCTCTCCAACCCTGGGAGCCCTTTCTGCCTCAGGGCCAGAGAGGTAGAAAATGTGTGGGCTTGCCCCCGACCCCATGAGAGAAGCCCTAGTTGGGGGTTGTATTTTAGGGACTGGGCAGGGGTTGGTTTTGCCATTACCTGAGCTCTAAAGTTTCCGAAGCAAGGAATACAAAGGAATGGCTGCTTTCTTGAGAGGAAGGGTTAGGACCCATCTCAGTCCCTGCTTAATGTCCCAAAACATCACCGAACTAGGTAATATTGACAAAGTGCTTGCGACAGTACCTGGCGTGTACAAGCACCGTGTTCAATAGTCTCTTAGGTGTGTTCTCATGAGTGAGTGAGCAAGGACAAGCCTACGGTTGCTAACTTTCTGCCTGTATTCTCTCAAAGTCTTCCATAAACATCTTAAATTCCTTTAAAAAAAGAAAAGGAACATTATCCAACTTCAGTTGCAGGTCCTGTGACCTAGAATAAATCATTGGGTAGTTCACTTACAAGACAGTAAATTTTTTCTTTCAGATTTGTAAATACTTTCAATGAGCTCATCAGCGTCACCGTGAGTGGGAAGGTTTATGAAAACATCACCAGTTATGATGCCAGCCAGTACCAGTTTTTCACTTCTGGCATGTAAGTACCTATACTGAACACTTTGCTCTAATGTTCAAAGACTTCAAGTTTTCTTCTTTAAAAAATACATCAAAGCTTTTCATACCAAGGATGTTAACCTGTATTACTTGTTTTTTAATAGAAAAACCTTCACAATGAACTCATCAAAGATTTTGCCACAGTGTCCACGTGATTTCCAATCTTCCTACCTTGGATTTGGCAGTGCCTATACCTATGTAATCAAAAGGAAGGTAACTCCCCCACTCGCATCAGAAGTTCACTCAAACTTTATTGACGGGACGCCTCACAAACACTTGGGACACAGAAATGAGTTAACCTCAGAACTATTAGGGTCTGCATTTTTAATGGGTTCCGAATTAATTCACTGCTAATTCTTTAACTTATTGTTGACTTAAGCGAACCATTAGAATTAAATTAAACAGACTGAGTTCCTCTGTCTAAATATCCATGTGGACCAGTATCTGAGATTTCCTTACACACTACCAAGGTGGCCTTTAGGATTTTATACTTCAAAGGGAGGGCAATGTTTTAAACAAAATAACTTCCAATCTACTCT